AAAGCGCGGCCGAAGGCCGCCAGTGCTGAAAGAAGTTTGACGCGATTGAATTATGAACACCCCGGTGTTGGACCGACCAGGGTTATTTTTTTGAAGCGCAACCGAAGGCCGCCAGTGCAGAAAGGAGTTTGACGCGATTGAATTATCAACACCCCGGTGTTGGACCGACCAGGGTTATTTTTTTGAAGCGCGGCCGAAGGCCGCCAGTGCAGAAAGAAGTTTGACGCGATTGAATTATGAACACCCCGGTGTTGGACCGACCAAGGTTATTTTTTTGAAGCGCGAAGGCCGCCAGTGCAAATAAAAATTCTTTACAAAAAAAAGCAATGTTAAAGAGAATATATAACTCTCTATAAACTTCAATTTTTATTAAGGATAATTATAATAACAGTGAAGATTTTGAAAATTTGATACATGAATACATATGGCGTAAAAATATAGTAAATCAGCATCATGATCCATTTGTGAAATTATCAGATGCAATAAAACATACGCCATAAAACCTTTTTCTTTTATTAAAATGGAAAATTAAGTTCATAATATTTTGTAGAGGGTAATTGGGTTTTTTATTTATTTTCATTGCTTTCATCCGTTTGGATATGGCAACACTTATTATCTGACAACATGGAACCCATTTGTTATTGTTCATATTACGAAAATTGTGTAAAAATTAAATGCTTATTTAAAGCAAATACTTGAATATTTAATATAAAATAAATATGTAGAAACATTGTAGTGAAGTGTTACTGTGTAATAAGTGCATAATATAAAAGAAAAGATAACCATAAATCGAGAAATTGTAAAATGAAATTTGTGAATATTTCAACTTAAAATGCAAATATCTCGAAAACTATAAGTTTCCGGCGGCAATAATTATATATATTCGAGATCTGGAGAATCTCCTCTATCCAACCATACCCCTTTTAACCCTGAAATCGTGGGATGCTAAACTAAAGTTTTCCCCATTGCTTTCTTCATCCAATAAAAAAAAATTGCTTTCACACATTTATTCATTCATTCAGCAAACAGCTAATTCCAATATTGGTTTTGCCTTTTAAAACCAGAATTGATTGGCAATTCTGACAACTAAGCAAATTTGTCTTGGATTCCACAACACCCCTGATTGATAAATAGATAAAGATCGGGTCAATACTTCCTAGACTCCATTTGCACGTAATTAAAAAAATGGTAAATGCATAGTAACCCAACTAAGGAGACCTCAAAAATGATTTTTTTTAATTGTCTAATTTTTACGCGTAGATTACAAATCCGTGAACGGAAAGTGAATTTTGCAATAATTTATGTATATTTTTCAAAATTTATTTAACACACTTTGCACATATCACATATTCAAATCACTTAGTTGTTGTTGTAGCGGAAAAATTCTGTAGAATTCAGATCTTTTAGCTGTAATTACCAGTTCACCGTATTAAACATTTTCTTATAAAAGAAATATACTGAAGAAATGTAACAGTCACAATTTCTTTTGCGCCGCGATCTGATGGTATGGACCAATATCGGAGATCGCCGAACTCCTTTCCGTACTGACGGCCTTCGGTCGCGCTTCAAAAAAATAACCCTGATCGGTCCAAAATCGGGGTGTTCATAATTCAAAGAGTGAACTCACAAAATTTAGTCAAAAAATGTTCGAAAACTTACATTAGTTTATTACCTAAGGTTGACACAATCAGTCAATATTTTTCACAGGCCGCAATATACGATGGGGTATGGATGAAGTATTTTTCGACTCTAGCTGACTTTATGATATTTCAATGAAATTAAGTGGACATTACACAAATATAATGTGACTTAGTGCTGAATATGAATGAAATCGGTCTTAACCTTGTTCTAGAGATATGAGTCCTTAACATTAATAAATTAAACCCCTTTGGTTGAGTTTATACATACATATATCATATGAGATGTATTCGAGGTAATTAGGTTGATCTTAATATAAAGATTTTGGTCCCGAAGCAAAATGTAGTAATAAGACTAAGTAAGAAATACGACCTACAGATAATTTAATAAGATACCAAATATTATTATAATCTATTCACAGTTTTGACGAATAATGAATTTTGCAATTCTTTAATATAAATATCTTAGCCCCACGAGAGTATAAAATGTCAGTTACACTCGTACGCAGCTCTTCCTTACTTGTTATTTTTATTTATATGTTTAAGGGCCTACTATCAACAACTTATGGTAATTAAATTGTTAACTTAAATTTGATATACCGATTAAGTTCGAAAACCAAAGTAAACCTATATTTCAGTAGTATTCTCGTTTTTCTACAATTTTTACAACTACAAACTAACTTCAAATTTATAGTTAAAAATTCAAAAGTGTGTATGCTTAGATCCATTAAGAGAGTCATAATATCAGTATATATTTTATAATAAATTATTTTATTCTTAAAATGCCAACCTTTATTAACACATTTCAAATACAGCGTTAGAATATAGATACATATGTATGTAGATATATGTACATATATGTATGTTCAATCTGACGTCACGAATGTGCATAAGTAGAACAAAGTTTAATAATGTTGCAGCAAACCACCATAATCATATATTTTTATTTCTTTTGTTTTTGGAAATTTCTGTAACACTTTAAGCAAAATTGTGGTTTTACAAAGATTTATTCCTAATCCATACTTCAAAATTTAAGTTTAAAAGTTTACAGTTTTTACCTTTGTTATTTTGAGCCCACCGGCAATTTATGAAAATGCATTCTTTTCGAACGGCAGTTACTTATGCGCTGTCCATATATTCTTATTAAATAAATCTTGAGACTCCAACGAATTAATTCAAAATTCTTTGCTTGTTTTTATATTTTGTTGTTGGGCAAAATGTATTTATTTCTGTGCAAAAAGTTATGGATAAATATTGATAAACGAAGTTAAAGTTGTACAAAAGTAAAAATCGACGACGAAAAAATTTTACTTTTAGATATGCAATGGAATGAATATAATTTAAAATAAATTTAAAAAACATTTTAATCAATAGAAAGTTATGTGTTAATATTACATGTAATCACTACATAAAATGTTGGTATGCACAATTATTTGCTTCTTTTTGTTTCACAACGATTTAGCAAAGATGGTATTTAATACATATGTACGCGCTTTGTAAGTGTCAAGCTTTCATATTCTTTCACTATTTTATCAATATTTCGCTGTAACAGTTTGATTGACTGACTAAGCATTTGTAATATAGTAGTGTGATTATATTGTATATTATGCGCATTTTTGATTCATCTTCTCCTTACATAGGACATCATATCATTACTTTGAATACATCACCGTGCACAACGGAATCTCTCTTTTTAGTAATTATATAATCTAAACACGTTTACTGATCCTCATCACCAAGTTCGTGTTTAATTTTCGAAAAATCAAAGTCTTCACCAGTACCTCTTTTAAATATATCCAATACATCCAAACAAGTAGTCTCGAAGTGCGTAGTAGCGTCATAAGATTCCGAAATAAATATCTGCGAATCAATGCCATTATCAATTGGCTCCAAATAATCAGAGATCGTAATAAACTTTTGTGCAATGGGTTCCAGCAAATCAAGTCCTGGCTTAATTTCATTCTCTGGTTGGTCAGATTCTACAGTAGTCGATACCATACCAACAAACCAGCCTTTAGCAGCTACCTGATGAGTATAGCTAACCAAAGATACATATATGTCCGATTTACGTCCAACTTGCTTTTGTGGAATGATTATCTGAGTAGATAGTGCGTCCTTGGTGTTCGCAACTGGGTGATCCAAAATGCAAATGCAACGAATTACTTTGCCCTTCTTGCGTACCTACACAAATTATATATTTATATAAAATATTTGGTAAAACTTTTAATTTTTAAAGCAACTATAAGGTAAAAAATTAGTTTTCAAATGTCGTTTTAATTTATACCCTATTACGGATTCAATTCAATTCAATTTCAGAACAACCACTTTTTTTTGGAATTAAGAACGTTGCTGTTAACTATAGATGTTAAGAAAAATTTAAATAGTATGGAACGTTTTTATGCGCATTAAAACTCAAATGTACTCAAAAGAATGCATTCCTAGGGACAGTGAATGTATCGATTCTTATGTTCACAATATTTCCCACAGTCCTTTAATTTTATATTTCCTGCATCCACATTGCCTCGTCCAGTTTTGTAATTTTTTTATGCATTTATACAAAACTGATTAATAATAATAGTTCTAAATTAGTTTAAACAGTTTATTTATCCGTTTACCATTTTTTTAATATTTACTCGAAATAAATTGCCATAAACAGCTTTCAAGCATTTGTAGTTTTTTGATTTTCTGGTTAGAAACAGTAATAGGGGATTAAATTTATGATATTTTACTATGCCCAATTTTTTTTCCCCATAAATTTAGAGAGATATTAAATTTTATCATCGTGTTCTTACCCTATCAGGCACATAGCTGGGGTCACAATAGACTTGCTTGCATTTCGCGACTTCATCTCCCGAGCGCACACCCACCACTTTACCTCCTTCGCCCAGGACAATTTCATCAATTGGTTTATCTAACATATAAGTTCCACCATAAATGGCAGATAAACGTGCAAACCCTTGTGGCAATTCACCAAGTCCATACATGGGATACAAATACGGCGATTTTCCATACCGAGCCAAGGAGTCTGAATAAAGCTTTATACGACGAATTGTATTCGCTGCTGGCTCATTCAAATACTCGTCATCACGGAAAAGAGCTAGCGCGTGACCAGTGAAATCTTGTGTATTCTTATCCAAGCCAAACTTGTCGTAGAGTGCCTGCATGTTTGACTTAGATGGGTCGAAGTCTTTCCAGGTTTTTGGATCATCTTCTTTAAAATCCTGTACGTAAACTAAGAAATTACGGAAACGACGTTTTTCAAACATTCCTGAAAGAAATAAAATGCATAATTATAGAATATGTATATTACTACATATAAAAGCTGTAATCCCATAACGACTTAAAGTTTTATGTCCCTGCTGCAACACGCAGAGTTATCTTCCTTTTCGGATTAATAAATTATGCTAAGCTTTTAAGGGCGTCAGACGCTATCCAGCCATGTCAACCTCAATTACATGCAACTATGTGAGTGCCACGAGTGTGTGGCACGTACATAAATACATATTTATCGGTATGTCTGGGCTGGTTAATTGCAATTTGGAATTAATTTTTGTTGATTCAGTGTAAGTTTCGAACAACAGCGGTTGGGGCTGCAGCGACAAAGCAGAAGACGTTTTAGCTTTCTTTTGCTTTGGCTTTGACTTTTGGGGCATGTCATTGCAAAATGGATGAGTTGAGCAGCTGCAACACGGGACCTTAAAAAGTTAGGTGCTTCTTAATTTTTTCGAGATTTTTTTTATTTTTGATATCATTTTAACTTCTTACATGTCGATTATATTTACCATATGTACATACATATATGTATGTATGTGACTTTTTAACTTTTAACTTAAAAACAGGTAAGTAATACTAATTAGAATATCGGCCGTAGCCTATAAGGCCTTAGCTGTCATACAAATATTTTTTTCATTTTAGTGCAAAATGGCTGAAAACGCTAAGAAACGTCAACTCTAGCCCACGAGTTCATCAAAGAGTAAAATATTACGAGTAGACAGTTCATCATTTCAAGAGGAATTCAATGCCCTCTTGCTGGCTTCAGACCAATCTATCAGTGAAGATGATATTGATGAGTTGTTGGTTTCCGACATTTTCATGACCAAGATGAAGACTTAGAGGAGAATATTCCAGAACTGGATAGCAGCAATGAGAGGAGGAAGGTAGCATCGATAGTTTTGATAATGCCACGCCTCTTTCGGAATTACGAAGGTCGAATTTTTATTACGGGAAAAATGTTAATAAATGGTCTAAGCAGAGAACTTGAAACAACGAGAAGGTGCAAATTGAATTTTGTATGATGCTCGATTGGTTTGCTGAAAAATTGAGATCAAGGAGTTCACCATTTTCTGTAATATTTGCTGTTATTTAACAGAAATGAGAATTTATAACAACGTTCTCTGACATATTACGTATCTCTCAACATAAAGAGAAAAATGAAATGAATGAGAAAACAAAAACTACAAATGCCACTTCACATATGCATGATTATTTATTTCCATATAAACGATTTTTATGATGAAAAATTGATAAAATTTGATTTTTTGCACAAATACTACATTGATAAAATGTGAAAGATTATGCAAAAAATTATATTTTACTATTTTCATAATTTTCTAATTTTAATTGTTACAGAATTAATAATTTATGTATGTACATATGTACATCAATATGTTATATTATATAATATAATAATATAATATATTATCACTCATCAATAAATACATGTGAGCGCACTGCTCTATATGTAAGTATGTATGTACAAATATGCGTATGACCGCGCAAAATAAGTAATGCATACACAAATCTACATATTATACATTTAAGCGTACAAATGTAAGTACGTCAGCCAATAGAAAAAATACAAACGTTGTTATAAAAAAACAACAATTGTCTCAAATAGCATCAGCACCAGAAATCAATATGGCAGCCAAATTGACAAATCCTAAATTTGTAGTAAATCATACACCAACAACATTTTCATTCATGAACGCTGGCGCACAAGCAATAAGCTAAGTCGTTTCATTCATAAAAGCAAACGCCTTACACATCCCCCCGAACATGCGTTTGCCTACAAGCGTCTTTTCGCGACGATGGCAAAAGCTAGAAATTATAAATTGAACATCTTTCTGATGTTCCCTCTAGAAGGGAAAAGTGACAACCCTGCAAACACAGAAAACAATGACAAAAGTGGCAACAAAGCTTTTGTCGATTTAAAATATTTTTCCGTGGCTCGCAATAATCTTCAATATGTATGCATGTTCATATAAAGACATACATATCTACAATGATTTGTAGGCAAAGCTGTTAGAGCAGCATGGGAAGCGATGACAATCGGCGAGCGTTCGTTTATTTTTCGGCACATCTCGGATTTTCCACCAACTACACAATGTTGTGACGCTTTGTCGCGTCAGTCCTTCGACAGATTGACTCTTTGACATAAAAGCAAAAAACGTGTCAACGGAGGTTTCACATGAAGAATTGAGTGTACATATATACATACAAATCCATACAAATGTGCAAACGACATAATATATCTAAGTACATATTTACGTACATAATTACTTTTACACATGCATTTGAAAAGAAAAATTGAAGCATGAATGTGAAATGCCGACGGCAAAACACAATTCTGTGCTTTTGTGAATCCATAATGGTGTCAAGTAAATGAATTATTTTAAGAAATATATCAAAATATGTTTAAATTATTATTAACTCACAATAAAGTAAAAATGAATTAACATAAAATAATTTAAAAATAATAATAAATAATAGTTCAATAAAAGGGAATATATTTCAAAGGGCATATCAATATTCCCAGTTTTGCTTACATATTATATTCTCCTCAATATTCGTCGGTTGGTTATGTTAAGATTCACGTATGTTTACAGATTCACCGCTGTTATAAAAGCGAGAAATGTTATTTGTGCCTCCAAATTGACAGACGCGGATCCTAAAGACCCTATCACCATTTGGCATACATTATTTGCCGAAGAAATGCTTCAACAAATATTGACTTGGACAAACCGAAAAATTTCTCCTTATATAAAATAAAGTTTGCTCGTCAGAATAAACCTGAACTGAAAGACATAGACATGACTGAGCTGAAGGCTTTTGTGCTGAAAGGCAAAACGATGATAAGTTGGCAGCTATATCCTTCATTTTCAACAAGTTCGTCAACAATTCTCAAAAGTTATACGAATTGAGTGAATGCGTCAACAAAGATGAGATGTTATTGAAGTTTTGAGGAAGAAGTCACATGATTTCATACGTGAAATACCAAGCGAAGTTTAGCCCAAAAAAAATAGAGATATTCAGTCAACTTTGTTTGGATTTGCAAATCAAAAAACTATTTGCTCATATGTGCCTAAGAAGAAAAGAGCTGTGATAATTGTGTCCTCAATGCATCATGGAAAAGTAGTTGATGACGATTCTAAAAATCCAGAAATTTTTCTGTATTGTAACACAAGAAAAGGAGGCGTCGATGAAGCAGATAAAAAATTATCGATTTTTTCCAGCAGCCGCCGAATGAGAAGGTGGGCAATGGTATAACTGCCTATATAAAGTCATTAGCCCGTTAGCCCTTTCGCTACTGCTACCCCAAATGCAAAGACGTGTTGAGTGCAGTCAATTACCAATGGCACTACGCCTAGTGATTAAGCGAGTACTGGGTGATGGTGGGGATATGGTTGAAGAAGATGTCCAAAGTCCTGAAACTAGTCAGGGAAAGCGAATTTCATGCAGTATTTGTCTGCCCAACTGCAATCTTACCATCTATACTTGTAGACATAAGTTGCTTGATTAAGAAACAGTTGTACTTGTTTTATTTGGATCACATCAATGTTAGCCGCGCGTAAGTAAAAACAATTATCTGTCACTTAAGAACGTAAGATTTTAAAAACATTAGATAAAGGCGTTTTGGCGAATAGATTGGCCATGGATTTCCATGTTCCCGAAGTCCTAGAGATTGATCCTTACAATGAAGCAATATATGCTAAAAGACGCTTATTAGATGGAATGAGTACGATATAAAGTTCTTTAACAAACACATTTCACATTTTCTTGAACCACGAGCGGACATTCGGATAAAAGGCTCCACCAGAATAAGGAAATTTTCAACCCTCGGCTGTACTTTTAATAAAAATTTGGTTTTGATATTAAAACTCTATTTATCAGGTAAAATCGAATCTTACAATTTATATACAAAATAAGGATTAAGGCAAATAAAATATATACCTTTTATGAAATGTGTAATGGAGTCCGACCGACAAATCGGTATCTGCTATTTTTGACAAATTCTTATGTCTCATACCATGTTTTCTTCCTATTAAAATAATTTTAAAGTTTAAAATATTTTTTTAATATATTCAACGTAATAAAACTTTGTATCAAGCAACTCAGTACTGGCCTTATGATGTTGCAAATAAAGTTAGAGCCTTAACGATAAAACAGAATCTTCAATGGTAAACACATAAGTTGACAAACTTGCGGTTATTAATACAAATCCATAGTTACTTGTTTCTACGGTACTTGATCCTTTCTATAAAGAATTTTTTTGAATTAGTGAAACTACAGTATAACTCACATTAGTGAGCAGAAACAACTGAAAAAACAGCTAGGAAATGTAAAGTCGGGATGAAATATTTATTTCGTATCGAATAAGAAAACGTTATGGAACAAAGTATTGAACGTAAGGCATTTTTAATAAACATTTAGGTATGTATATATATATGGTCGGCAGAAATCCTCCACTGAACCCTCCCCGAGGGTGCCGACTGGTAATAGATACCCCAGTTTCACGACGTAAGCGGGGACGAGCTGGTAACAGTCCTGCCGTAGACATGAGTAATCTAGCTAAGGTCAAACTTCTTTTCAGTGTGTTCGATGTTCCTCAATAGCACAGCATACAGATAAGGAGCCTTACAATGGTCGCGGGTACTATAAAGGGCTAGATCAAGGTGTCATGCGACCCATGCTGAGGATCAACCGGACTGGGGGAGCTTACGGATACCTGGCGCCCTCCGTAATATGATAGCCCTACTTGCGTAGCGGGGGTTATGCGCAAGCGGACACACTTTCCCCCACACTCGTGGGACTATTTATGAACCAAAAAATAAGAAAAACAAACTAAACCCGAACAAAAATCGGAGAGAGCCCGGATCTCCCCAATAAAAGGCGGAGCGGGCTAGTTGCTCCCAAAAAAAGAGCAGCGTTTGGAGCGAGCTCGGCAACAAGCATAAAGAAGACAGGAGCGAAACTTAGCCCAGATGATAA